ACGGCGGCGGGGGCAGCGGAGGCTTCGGCGCTGGACCCGGCAGCACCAGGGGCCTCTGGACAGTGGCGCTGCAGCAGCTCCTCCAGCAGCTGCCTCGCGAGCGCAACCGCGGCAGGAGGGCCGGCAGCCTCGAACAGCACCGGGTCGTTGTTGGCGCGCACGGAGATATAGGCCCCGCTCTCTGCCTCCAGCGCACGACGTGCGGCACCGCCACGCCCGATCAGGTACGGGACTATCTGGCGAGGCACCTCCACACAGATGCAGCCGCCTGCGCGCTGCCGCAGCAGCTCAAGCGCTTTCTCGACGGCCGCCATCTCGCCCACCGCCTGCAGGATCCGCCAACATCAAATCGGGAAACCGAATCGGATCGGAACCTGCGTCGGATCAGGCTGCACCTGCGTCGGAATTGAATCTTGGTGGTCCCCAAACGTGGCGGTGACAACATCTGGCGGTGCGTCTCGGGCGATTTGGTGTCACCACCCGGTTTGGGGACTCGTGTGGTTTTCGAGGATGTCTCACAAAGCCCGGCGGTGACCCCGCGTCCCACAAAATCCGGCGGTGACTTCTTGGGGGATTCCAGGCCGCCACCCGATGGCTCACCACCTGGTCACTGGGGGCTCCCAAGGAATCGGATCCGCCGCGCCAGGATGCACGGCATCGACGTGCAAGCATCGGCCCGCACTGCATCGTAGGGACGTCGCTATCGGGTCGGACCGACCTGACCGAAATCGGTATGTCTCGGAGTATCGTTTAACCGATCCCCATCCCCAGCGGCGTGGCCTGGGCCCCACTGGCCGATTTACCCCCCAGATGGGGATCTAGGTCGTTCCCTTCGGTTTTCGAGAGGTGCATCCCCAACTGGGGTGGTAATTCAGTGGGGGTCTCGAAGGGGATGGGGATGGGGATGGGGATGGGTTTGACGATACCGAGTATCGAATCGGATCGACCGGATCGGAATGGGACCAGCCGCCTGCGCGAGGCAGACCTCGGGCGTGGTCTGCACGTGCACCGAGGCGCCGCTCTCTGCCTAGAGGCCTCCCAGATCGGGCCCGCGCAGAGGGGGTCGGAGGATTGCACCAGGTCGCCGATGCATCGCCGACGCATCGGCGATGCATCGGCGACCTCGGCGTCGAGGAAATCAGGCTCCACATCGAGCTTCAGCCAATGCGTTGGCGATGCGGCGCGACCCTCCGACCCCACCCGCCCGGACCCATCTGGGGGAGCCACGCTGCCTCGATCTCGCGGATGGCGGCGCCACGAGGGCCGATCACCCGTGGAGCGGCATCGCGGGGCAGGCGCAGCTCTCCGTGGGCGTGGCGCTCGCGCAGCAGCCCCTCGGCCCGGCCCACCGCCGCCGCCTCGCCGAAGAGCTCCACGCAGGGCGGCTCCCGGTTGACGTCGACGTAAATCGAGGCTCCCTTGCTGTCCTGCGCGTAGTAGAGGCAGAACAACGGCGTAAGCATAAACACTTGCAGCTCCGCGCTGGATTTCTTAGATCCGCGCCGCACTCCCCTCCCTGGCGCTCGGAGCGCGCCAGGGGCGGCGCCGGAGGCGCCGCCGAGGGTCCCAGCCCGAATTCAAGAAATCCGCGCGAAGCGCCCAATGTTTATGCTCATGCTCCGGGATTCTCGCATGACTGTTTCTGTGCCCGAGATGACCCGAAGACGGGCCAAGAGGGCTCCACGAGACCCCCAAGACGGTCCAAGAGGGTCCCGAGGCGCCGAAACATATTCCCAAGACGTCCAAGAAGCCTCCGAGACGCCCCAAGAGGCCTCCATGAGGCCTCCCAAGGGGGCCAAAGAGGTACAAATCGTTGTTCCCCCGTAGGCCTTTCAAGGAGTTTGGCGTTCTCGCCTTTTCAGCTTCGCGACGCTCCGAGATTGCCTAAGAGGCCCCAAAGACCTCCCCGAAACGGCCACAGAGGCCTCCTTCAAGACGGCCTAAGAGCGACCCAAGGCTGCCCAAGAGGCGCCCAAGTCGGCGCACGAGAGGCGCCCAAGACGGCCCCAAAAGGGGCCCAAGAGAGAAAACGCGAACCGAAAATCTGAGCCTTCCGCCCCAAGGAAGACCCCAGGAGACCCCGGACGTGCAGACCCTCCGCGGCTATCCTGAACCGTTTTTGACGACTCCAGGGCCTCGTAGGATATCACCCGCGGGCCGCCAAATGCCGAAAACCTCGCGGCGTTCGGAGGAGGAACAGGTATCCATCCCTCGCCCGTTTTCCCTTTTCTGGGCTTCCTGGGAGGCCCTCGTCGCCACCGCTGGATTCGCCTCGAAATCCTAGTCAGAACGCACCCCGGGGAGAGGCCCGTGGAGTAGCGGTATCGGTACCTTTTGGTGTCCCAAGTCGTGACACAGGGTTGCCGGCGAGTCCTGCTCGAGCTGCTTCACCGCGGAGCCTCCCTTGCCGATGACCCGCCAGGCGATGCTCGGCGGCGCGCCGGGGGGGGGGGGGGGGAGCGAGAGGGGGCAGGCGACATCGCAAGGCGGCGGGGCTTCTCTGAGGCCCTCCGGCCTCCTGAGCAGCCCTTTCGGCGGTGGACAAGCCTCCCTTTAGTAGACCTCCCCTCAGTGAAAACGGCTTGGGACCGAAACCGACGGACCTGGACCCGCAAAAATGACGGCCGCGACGCCCTCTCGCGAACCAAAAACGGACAACTCCTGAATCGACGTGTCAGGGTAGGAGGTCTGTCCACCCCCGACCCTTCGGCCCTCTGGGAAGACCTCTGCGGCTTCGGAGCAGGCTCAGAGAGCTCCTCAGAGGGCGAAGGCCCGTCCCCTTCAGAATGCCGCCCCCCCCGGGCGCGCCGCCGATCTGCGCTCGGGCACCTCTGGGGAAGGTGCTGATACCGCTGCTCCCCGTATACCTCTCCGGGGGTGCGTGCTGACCGTGGTGTCGAAGCGAATCCAGCGGTGGCGACGAGGACCTCCCAGGAAGCCCGGACGGGGGAAAACGAGGGAAAGGTAGGGGGATGGGTACCGTTTCCTCCTCTGAACCTCCACCGAGACGCTGCGCAGGGAGCGCAGCAGCGCCGCCGCCGCCTCGACCTCGGCATCGCAATAGTTCTCCTGTGGCGCAAGGCGCGTGCCAGCCACGGGCTGCTGTTGTACGACGTGCGTATCCCACACGAGCGATTGCATGAACTGTTGTGCAGATTCTTGAGACCCCATCTGCAAAGGACCCACTTGTTTACGTTGCTCCCATCAAAATTCAAGGACCACATCCCAGAAATATATCCAAGCACGCACAGACTATCGAAGCAGCGTCTGCCCGACACGCTGGCGAAGTGTCTCACGAATTTCGCCTCCCAGGGCTCGACACATGAAAACCCTCCAGTTTCGGTACTTTCCTGGTGCTCGACAGTCTTTGTGGAGATCAAGGCTAAACCCAGACCCCCGACGTGATGATCTGTTCATTACGTCGACCCCCAAACATCTAGACCCATCCCCCGGGTTCCGTTTTTCATCCTGAGCCGTTTTTTGACAGACCCGAGGCCTGCAAGGGCCCCTAAAGGCTGAACATGTTGAAAAGCCTCCCGTTGTGATTTTTTCTCGTAACTCGAGGGCGCCTGGGAGGTAGGCCGGAGCACCATCTAACCACTGGCCCGAAGCCGACCTCGGCAGGCGCACCGACGGCCACCGCGCTCGCGCCGTCCGCGGCCACCTCTTGAGCAAGGACCGACAATCCCAGCATTCTTGTAGGCCTACCACGACACGTTCCCAGAACCCCCAGACCGCTCCAAGGACAAAAGCAGCAATGCTCTTGGCACAGAGCCCCGACGTGCGAAGGCAAGCCGGACTCCGCAAGACATGTTCCGAGGACAGGTCGCGCAGACCACACACAGGTTCTCAGAACATTCCTTGGTGGGCCTAAGCGAGCTGGGACGCTTCGCCGCTGCGCGGCCACCTCCACGCGCAGCGAGGCGCCGCACGCCTCCGCCAGCGCCCGGCAGCTGCGCGCCCGCGCGGGCCGGCCGTCGGGGAGGTCTCGGAGGGGGGGGGGCCGATGCCGAGGCGGCGGCGGCCTTTCCATGGCGCGGGCAGAGCTGATATGACGGGGCCCTGGGACACTAGGGGGCAAACAAACCTACCTCGCTTTTGACCACCCTCGCTTCCAGGAGATACCAAGCGATGCCAAACAACGGCATGTACTGGTCAGGCCGCTTGACGAGGAGGCGTATGGTATGACTTGGTTCTGCCTGGAAGCGAAGCGGGGCAGGTAACTCACGCTCTGAGACACACAAAGAAATACACACACAAACAGCAGGATCCCCCAGATCTTAAAACCCATGTTCCACATGTTCCAGCATCTTCGGGGGGATCGACGATTGCTCGTGTCTGTGTGATCTTTCCCTCCCGATGATAGCTCGAGTGCAGTGGAGGCCCGTGCAGGAGATGTGTTTTTCCTGGCCGCGGCGAGGCCTCAGGCGGGCTCCCCGAGGCAGGGCTGCAGTGGAGGCCCGTCCACGAGGAGCCTTCCACAAGAAGCCCAACCCCCCTCCTCCTCCTCCTCCTCCTCCTCCTCCTCCTCCTCCTCCTCCTCCTCCTCCTCCTCCTCCCCCTCCTCCCTCCCTCGGCCCCAGGGACGTCCATTGAGTTGTGGTGTGGGAAGGTCACGCTGTCCGTCGCAAAACCCTCGAGACCCAAGAAACTCAGGGCCCAAGAAATTCGAGACCACAAGAAGCCGAACCCTGAGGCCCAAGAAATGTGAGTGCTTTTTGGTGTGGGAACGCCACGTTTCCCATCGCAGAACGATCGAGACCCAAGGCAGGGTGTTTCTTGGCGTGGGTCTCCACCTGTGGGGGGTCGACTACAGAATCGATGAACCCCAGACTTGAAGTTTCCGTGGAGTCTACGGGGCATCAAGACGTAGACAATGCTCGTCTACGTACGAACCGTATACATGTTTCTCTGCAGTTACGAATTTTCAAATCATCCACTTATTGGGTTTTCTCAAGTGGAATTAATACTATGGATCTTGAGATCGGTTTTGAGATCGATAACGAGATCGATAGTGGAATCGATAGTGATGACAATTCTAAGGTCGATCGTGAGACCGAGAGTGAAATCGATTCAATGAGATCAATAGTGAGATCGATCGCGAGATCGCTCATGCGATCTCTAGTGAGATCGCTTGTGAGATCGATAGCGAGATCGATTCTGATATCGATGGTGAGATCCATAGAGAACTGGATAATGAGATCGATAATGAGACCGATCGATAAGAAGATCGACCAGGAATCCGGGAACCTGGGAACCTCGCCGCCCTCCGAAATCGGCCCGGCAACCGGAACCGGGAACCCATGAACCCAGA